GGATATCCAGCTGAACTCATCGCATGCATCGTAAAGCAACGCCAAGGGTAGAAAAACCCATACAAAGGCGATGACATGAGTGAATTAGTCAGCCGTCGAGCTCGTCTGCTACACAGGTAACCAGCAGGTAACGGTCAATGTCTTCAATATCACCCGGATACTAAAATCATCGATGAAATAACCACTGACCCCCTCCTCCAGATCAAACTGCATTTACTTATTCAAGTGTGGATGCTTGACCGTCTACACAGGAAGGACAAAGAGGCAGTTATATCACAGAATGGTCGCATGTATCCCGGTGTGGCTCACGATAATGATGAACGATAAGTATGAAACCGTTAAATTGTCGACTGGACCAAAGAGACTTCATCACCATCATCGTACAGCGAAATATAGTGGAACGAACTTCACTGATCGCTGCCAAACTCATATCGCATACAAGATTATTGGTGGAATATAAGGTGGACAGGGAATGGACCTACTTTGAGGGAAGAAGGTGAACCACTATGGTCAACACACAGAGTGCACAATCAAACTCTGCATACATACCGTTTTAAGCGTTCTGGCCTGATAAGAAATGACAACCTGATCGCCATTGTTATCGGTTCGCAGCTATGACCTTCAGTGTCTCCAACCCTGCGGTTTCGGAGTCTTTTGAACCCCATCCCGGAAGACGAGACACCTGCTCTACCAAATCGCTCAGTGCATTTCTTCATGCCTCGCCCCCACGTTATCTGTTGACCTTCACGAGGTTTCCTCCAGCCCGGATTATCTAAAGCGAATAAAGCGCGGTGCGGCAGACGATGGCTGGGCATACGCAATATGTGCCCCGTCCAGCGGAGTCTACTAAACTGAATTCGGTGTGCTAGCAGGTTTATCCCTGATAGAATCCCAAACACTCGGCGGCTTGCCTCCACGTTACTAACCCGTTCTCTTCATCCCACGTGGGCTGAACTGTGTAAACATTGATAATCAAAAAACCTCTAGTCGACGGATATCTTCTACTCGCAAATTCGAGGTCTTACAACCATAAAGCAGAACTGAACGAACGCTAGCGCAAAATACACGACCTTTTAACTTCAGTGAAACGTCGCGTCTACGCCAAAGGTGTTTCAGTCCTGCATATGCTGCTCGAGTCTTGGAAATGCGGGCTGTTATCTCCTTTGCTGCGCTACCGTCATTGGTCACGCAGCTACCTAAGTAGGAAAAGCAATTCACCGTAACTAATTCCTAACCATTTAGTTGAAGAGCGCGCGTAGGCGATACCCAGTCTTGCGGCATTACTTTGCACTTTGAAGGTGCAAAGCACATACCGAATGTGGCTACTAAACTTGTTAGTCTATCGAGTGTGCTTTGCGCATCCTCCATGCACTCAAACAGACGGTATCATCGGCGTATTCTATATCGCACAGCTTTTCTCCACCTGCCCATTCAATACCTACGTTTTGGGAACACTTCGTGCGTTCGCCAGTATTTCGTCTATGAAAAAATTGAACAGGAGTGGCGAGAGAGGGCACCTTTGACGAACGCCACTGCTGGTGACGAATGGTCTACTTAGTTCATCATAGACTCTTACGCTACCAGAGGTAGGCGAGTACAGTGACCTCAGGGGGGCATTCCTTTTCGAAGAAGGGAACCCATAAGGGATTCACGTTGAACTGAGTCGAAGGCTCCTTTCAGGTCAAGGAACACTGTGATCGGCAGTGCGTGTGACTTAGATCTTCGATAACACAACAATCACCAAAACTTTGCGTCAATCCAACCCACGCACTTCAGGTAATCTACAACAAAACAAACACAAAGTTACTGAAATTTGTCGAGGCCATGGCCATTCATACTCAAAAATCTGATCTATGCAAACAACGTGAATAGCTGGTCACATAAACTTCGCCTTGGTGTTTGACCTTCATCCTTTTCTGGTTTTTCGTATTGCTGTGTCGCAATTGACAATCTTGTCTACGTCCTACGGTTGTTATTTCACTAATTATAAACATCACCTTGGGTGTGGTATGCACGTGTACAGATGCAGCAAAATGACCAAGGAGACATTGTGTAAACTCATATATGTAACTTCTCCATTTATATTTGTGACGAGAGAACAATGCTTTCGATAGATAAATTATTGAACTCCCCAAACCGTTGAAAACAACGCTATCTTGTTCGGTAAACCGCAATAATTCAGGTAACTTATGTCAGCGTATCTGCTGAACAACGGAACTTACTTTAATCCATGAGAGTAATGGAGGGGAAATTCGTCGTGTATAGAGCAAAAAAAAGCGTGAACTGAAACCAAGGAAACACATTGTACAGCTGGTTAGACCTGGTTCGGTCTCATTAGCACAGTGTGAACCCATAGATTCAACTGGGGATCGAATCCGGGACCTCACACGCAGAACGCAAACATACTACCCACTCGACCATCGAGCAGCTGATCAAACCACTTTTTTCATTTGCGATTTACAACCCACCTTTGAGAGCTTGTTGCTTGTTTGCTTTCATGAAAACACGTAATCAGGTCGTGAAAGCTTCCAATCGAGTTATAACCCCGGAGGCTAGTGATGAGATGAGCGAGGCGCGACGCCCGCAACATGCTAGTAAAAATGAGTTATTTTGTATCGTGTAAATGTAAAATGAAAAACGATCTGATCAGCTGACCGGGGAACAGTTTAGTTTGACCGTAACCGTAAAACAATCTCACCTTTAACAAATTTGTACACAACCGAACCAGACCGGGACCTAGACGGGGATCTTGCGCCGCTCGGCACAAACGATTTAGTGCAGAAATCAGTGTTCCCAGCTGAATACTCAAGTCCGACTGAGATCCGGTGTGCTGGAATAGTGCCCGATGAATCGCGACAGCCTGGTTCAGCTGAGCAACCGAGGACAAGGTTAAACCGGAGCTGTCTGGTCCTGTGAGCGATGTCAACTGACGAACAAACGGATCTAATATTCGATTCAGTGTTTGAATGGCTTGAAGCTGGGCCGAACTCTTTTCTAAATCTAACGAGGCGACAGCTTCGTCAAACAAGTCCCTGGGGTCTTTTTCGGATGCGCTTTTCTGTAAAAAATCAATCAATCTGGTGAAAAATGTAACGACAAACCTCAGTGTCCCGTTCTCTTGGTAATTTGATCTTTTTGGTAATCAAGTCGACGGTCGTCTCATTTTGTTTTTTGAGTTTTCGTCCTACTTTGATTTTCACTTTTTGAAAATCTTTGTCCTTCTTTTTCTTTGCCATTTTTCAACTCGGTATTTAAGAGAGGATAGTGAAGTTTTGTGAGCAGAGTGTACCAG